CAAACTTGGTCAGGTGGTTGTTAAGATATTTTCGATTAAAATTTTAAAAATTTAGATATTAAAATTTTTTTTGTCTTTGATCAAAAATATCTCAACGACTACCTGACCAAATTTATGAATTTTAAGTACCGTATATTACCGAATAGAAGCTACCCCTCGATTTTGGATCCAAAAATCTGAAAACGGTTACTATGTTTTAATAGTAAAATTAGACCCGAATAGAAGCTACCCCTGCAGTTTAGCCTAAGAAAATCGAAGAAAATCAGAAATTTTTTGGTAGCTTCTATTCGGTAATATACGGTATTTCATTTATGAACGACTGGCGTATCTTTTTCGAGTCCCTGTTTAGTGTTACGAGAAAAAGTCGGCGGCCATCCAAAACATAATGTGTTTACACGTTCGCTACAACGTAAGAACACGTAAACAAATGGCGTTTGCGGGTCATTGCCGCCTCTGGCAATACAATCTAAAACTCAGCTCTAAAACTCTGCGTATTGCTGAAAAAGATAGCGTTCGGTTGAACGCCACAGTGGCTAAGCAACAATGATCGACAAGTCCCGGTTTCATAGTATAGGAGGGGTGGTTTTTAAATCTCCCACTAATTAGTAAATTACTAATTAAAAAAAGGAGATAAAAAGGAGTGGTGGTTTTTAAATATCCCACTTTTTATTAATGTTAAATAGGGGATATATCCTCAATCATACGGGATGGGTGGTTTTTAAACATCCTTTATATGGGAGGGGTGGTTTTTAAATATCTCATTTTTTATTATAAATAATTAGTAGGAGATATCCCATATCTCCCAGATATCTCCCAGATATCTCATATGTATCCTTTGAGATTTATTGTAATTTTCTTATTTTTTCGTTCAATTTTACTCTTGGAAAGTTATAAATTTCTGAATGATCGACGAAATATGCAAAATTTATATAAAAACACATTTAATTTCTTTACTTATTTTATATTAAAGGATATCTCATTTTCTTATTAACTTAACATGCCTAAAATTCGACATGAAATTTGGATAAAAAAAATCTTTTTTGTAAAAATTGCGATAAACAATATAAACATAATTCTTCTGTTATTTTTAAAATGAAAAGACATTACAAGAATTTTCATAAGGAAATCTATATACCGACAATTAAAGAAAATGAGACTAGGTTAATTTTAAATCAAGAACAACGACAAACTTTTTTTCAACAGAATAACTCTTTGAAGTATAAATATAAAATTATTTCTGACGAGAAGGAGTTTTTTATTGAAACTAAAAAACTTATAATTGAAAGAATTGAAACAATTAGACTTTCTTAGTTAAAAAAAAACATATTTCAATATATTTTTATGATTTTTTTCAAAAGATAATATCTTATTTCAATAAATAAATTGCTAAATGTAGATTCCATATTTTGAATTGTAATTATTGATTTTTATCTAATTTATGTATAATTACGTGTTTATGTATCTCGTAGTAAGTATATTTGGGATAACAAGATGTTCAACATTTAATTTAAAAAATTTAAGTTATTTATAACTACTATAAATACGTCTTAACCCTTTCCTTCTCCTTCCACCCTGACAGAATTTTTCAGTTTGTAAAATGGTAAATAATTACAGATTTCGACATTCTATGTCAACTATTTTCTATTGCATTCCATGCTTGGAGACTTATAAATATAAAAAAAATGCTACGGAGAAAGATAAATCATCTAGAGAAGAAGAATTTGCAAAAAGTAGAACAATTCCTGAATGTGATTTATGTAAGTGAAATCACTGGCGATGTAAGGATAATAGTTGTCGAAATTGTTGCAAGTTGCGAGAATGTAATGATATTATTTGTTCAAATTGTGTGGAAAAAAACATTCGTTGTCGACGTGTTTTACCAAAAATTGAAAGGGAATTTGAGGTTTTGGAAGGATTGGGAGTTACATTTTGCTCAGGTCAATATGAACCAACTACCAACGGACAATTCCATGAGCAAGTTTATTTTCAATTCAAAGACCGTCAAACTATTCAGTCTGCAAAGAAAATTTTTGGTCATAACGCGATGAATTTTCCTAAATATCTCAATGGTAATTCAAAGCAAAATCTTGCTTATAGTACAAAACTATATGGAAGATGTGAGCTTCATAAGAAGAAATGTCGATGTAGTTACGAGAATCTTGATGAGTTTTGCGATGCTTGTGATGAAAATTGTAGGCCTTTGAGAAAGTGGGCATGATGGGTTGATAAAGATGGAAATCGATTACCTGATAATGTTGTCGGTCCTTTTGTGTTCGGTTTTTATCGGGATCTTTCGGTTTCCAAGGAATTTTCCAATGCTGTTGATGAGCTAGAAGAGAAGAAGATACAAGAGTTTGAAGCGATAATTGAAGGGAATAACAAGCTTTTGGAAGGATATTCACCATTACAGGTGTTTGAATTAAACAAAGATAAAGTTAGATATAGTAATAATTACATCGGTATGAAGGTGATTCATACTGATGTGGAGAAGCAATGAAAGAAAGATTTACAAAGATTCTGGCGACCTGTGGTTTTTTATTTGTTCGGACCAGGGGGAAGCGGTAAATCTGGATTAGTGCAGGAGCTTTTTAAGGATGAATTCTATGACAAACATATGAAGCAAAGGTCAGGATCTAATTGGTGGAACGAGTATGATGGTCAGGAGATCGTGTTCTTGGATGAGTTTTATACCAAGATCGAATGGAATAACATGGTTAATTTGCTAAACGATTCGAGTTGTAGTGTGGAGATTAAGCATGGTGGCTTTGCTCCATTTCTTGCAAAATACATATTTATGACTACTACAAAGAATCCTCTTGAAGCGTATAATTTCAATAATCGAGGTGAAAACGAGGATGATAACAAGCGTGATTTTAAACAGTTTGGTAGATGTTTGGATTTTGTGATCGAATTTGATGGTGTGTAGGATGATGATATCAGGAAGCGTACCACAAGAATCACTTGTCATCAGTGTGAGTTGGAAGTGATTAATTGGGTACCGAGGAGCAATTTCGTAGCATGAACTGGGACATCAAATATCGGAATGGTTGCAATACTCCAACAGAAGTCATAGAAAAGAGCAAGGTTCTTAATAAGGGTATTGAAGGAGAGCATGTTATGATTGAACACATGGTGTATTGGCGTCGTAAGTTCCCAGAGTTCAAGCGTCGTTATCTGCAGGATTATCCGATGAGTCAGGAGCTTTTCGAGTATCGTATGGAATGTGAATTTTCACAAAATTTAATAGAAAATACAGATCCTCAGATTGAATCCAGTACTTCACAGAAACGAAAAAATGTTGATAATTCAGTTGTTACTGTAGATATTTATGATGAAAATTCTAATAAAAAAGCACGTTTTGATTAGTAAAATTATCGTATGTTTATCAAAATACCAAATATGGAATCCATATTTGGTAATTTTAAATGTGAACATCTACATTTATTAATTTGTTTGTTTTTAAATCTTTATAAATTTGTATTGTTTCCAGATTAAGAAAATAAAAATATCTTTAACTGTTGAAATTTGTGAATTAAGAAGAATCATAAAACAACAACAATACAGGGAAATGAAAAAAAAATTTCCTGATTGTATTCTTTTTCAAACGATTGATGAAAGATATAAAATTGTGTATGATTTTATCGAGAAAAACATTAAACAACTTGAACTTTATAAGTCATTTTTTATTGACGGTCTTTTTCAAGAAGAAGTTGCTCGAGGAATTCAGGAAAAGATGAAAGAAGAGTATATTTTACATGCTTTTAACTGGTGTCTCCCCTATAAATTTCTTGTCGATGATACGAATATTCAGAAGATTTTCAAGTCGATGCATGCTCTATCTATCCTTAATCCTCTATTTTTTTTAGAGTCATTAGAGGGATTTATTAAATCTTTAACCGATTTTAAAGAGGATTTTGAAAATTAATAATTTTTTTTTTTATTTAATTTATTTTATTTTATTTATTTTTTTATTTATATGGAAATGATTTTATTATAAAATGTGTATTTTTATTCTATTCTATTTAATAAAGATGTTTTCACTTCTTCTTTACGAGATGATGATTATTATTTTTAAATTTTTTCCTTTTAAAAATCAAATTAACTGATATAATTCAGGATCTATCTCAATATTGTTTATATATAAACACTTTTAATCTAATTTCCAATGAACAAAAGTTAGTTTTTTACAAGGAAATTAAGAAATTGGATGGTCGATGGTTCTGGTTTAAGGATAATAAAAGACGCTTAATTTATTATGAAAATGGTGTTGTATACTCTCGATTGGGGAAAAACGAATCTAAAATCAGTTCAAGATACAGATTATACCCATTTAAGAAGAATTTTGTGTTAGATGCTAACAAGAAAATATGTGATGTTTGTTTAAAGTTTACGTATTTAACTAAATATTTGTCTGTGATTGTTTTATTTATGCATGTAAATTTAGAAATTCTATTTATCATTCTCATAAATTATGTAATGATTGTTATGCTAGGTTAGTTGGTAATAGACCGAAAATTTTAACCAATAACTTTATTTTCTACTTGTAAATTTCTTCTCAGTATCAAATTTTGGTACCGAGGGGAAAACAAATTATGTATTTTTATTTGTATTAAAATGGAACATAAACAACCAATTACTTTTCTTCAAATGATCGATGAGAATATCAATTATCTTTCTGTTAATCGTCATATTAGAAAGCGCGATTTTCGTATCAATGAATATAAGAATGTGTTAGTTGAAACACTTTATCTAACTTTTACAAAACATCAACACGGAAAATTCAAGGAGCTTATGTATATGCTTCATGGAAAATTTCCAGAGATGTATCAAGAAAAGTATATGATTTTTGACGATATTTTATCTCCATTTATTGTTAATTACATATATAAGCAGATGGATGAGATTGTTGAATACAGATTAAAACTTGAACAAAAATTTATGAAATATCAAAAATATTTTTATTCTCTATTTGTTAATAATAATATTACAAAATAATAAATTTAAGTATTTGAATAATTTTCTTTTGGAGGATTTTTCAATTTTTTTTTCAATTTCATTTATAATGTTAAGTATTTTCAACGATGTTTTACCAAATTTTTGTTCTTGATATTCAATTACATGTTTCAATAAATTCTTAAAAAAGATTTTTTCATCTTTTGTAAGCAGATTGTATTCTTCACCAACAGGAACGTGAAAGTAGTAATGTTTGGTAAATGTACGAAAGATTGACGCGAATATAAATTTATCGATATCATCGGTGACAAAATCTTCAATGGTACTATCTAAAAATTCAAAGAGTTCTTCTTTGTAAGAGGTGTTGATTTTACTCTTAATTTCATTGAAAAGATCTTGATGTTTTTCGATGATTTTTTCACAGATTCTTTTCTTGGCTTCTTCGATTACGTTGTTTAATATGAGGTTTTTTCTTCGTTGTCGATAATTTCTTTGTTCGTGATTTTACCGATTTTGATAACTGCCTTCTTGGTTGTTTCATTATACGAAATGAGATAGTAGTAATTTTTGTAGAGTTCACTGTAAATCAGTAATTTTAGGATTTTTTTATCTTTTTCTTGGTTTATTTTTATCTGTTGTTATTGCTGTATTATAGCATATTTATATAATTTTTATTGAATTACCAAATATAGATTCCATATTTAGTAAGTAATTTATTAATTTTAGATATTACATGAATCAATAATTTGCTAATTTTAAAAAAGTTTCTCTATCAAGT